GCTGTTGTTGTTAAGTAGGGTCAGTTCTGACTCATGGTGGCGCTGTGTGCCACAGAACGAGACCCCGCCCAGTCCTGCCCCAGCCTCAGTTATTCGTCTGTGTCAGCCCGTTGTGGCAGCCACTGTGTCAATCCATCTTGTCGAGGGGCCTTTGCCTTTTGTGCTAATTACCTTGAATCTCTTGAAATGAGATAGAAAATGAGATTCGGACAGAGCGCTCAGTTGAATTCCAAGTATCTAGACAGCGCCTTAAGCTCCTAAAATACAGGATGATTTCAGTATGTACTCATTACGCGAGGACTAATCAAAACCAAGTAACAACGAAGCTGAGTTCATTTCTGCACTGAACATAAGAGGACTTTCTTAAAGATCTTTTTGAATATTACAGAGTTCATCTTAGGAAGGTGGACATGAGCCACGGTTAACTTGGTCCCCAATTTATGATTGCTCCCATGCACAACAGGTGGGACTGTCTGGGACCCATAGGGTTGGCATGGGCTAATTTTAAGAAACCGATTGCCAGGCCTTTCTTCCTCGTCTCTCTGGGTCTGGAAGCTCTGTTGAAGCCCGGCCACTATCACAGGAATAGGCGAGGCTGCACTGGCAGCTGGGTGGTGGCTGCACAGGAATGGGCATCAGACCACACCACCTCCAGGGCCAGGCTGAGGCCGCTGACATGTTGCTAGCCCTAAAGGCTAGCGTGCAGGCTCTCTTCCACCACTGGTCCCATTGTGTCTTGTTTCCGCTCCTTCAAGGCCACTCTCGAGCACGAAGAGGCCAAGATCCTGCGCATCCAGCTCGAATTGACCCAAGTGAAATCGGACGTCGACAGGAAGATGGCGGAGAAAGACGAGGAGATGGAGCAGCTGAAGAGGAACTACCAGAGGACGGTGGAGACCATGCAGAGCGCCCTGGACGCCGAGGTGCGGAGCAGGAACGAAGCCATCAGGATCAAGAAGAAGATGGAGGGCGATCTGAACGAAATCGAGATCCAGTTGAGCCACGCCAGCCGCCAGGCTGCCGAGACCCTGAAGCACGTCCGGGCCGTCCAGGGCCAGCTGAAGGTCTGAGAAAGCTCCGCGCAGTGGGACTGTGCCCTCCCTTCAAGCTCCTCCAGCTGTAGGTTAGGCTGGTGGCCCTGAAGCCTCAGCGTCTCGCCTCTCTTTCCCATTCTCTCGGGCTAGGAGACCCAGCTGCACCTGGACGATGCCCTGCGGGGCCAGGAGGACCTGAAGGAGCAGTTGGCCATCGTGGAGCGCAGAGGCAGCCTGCTGCAGGCCGAGGTGGAGGAGCTGCGGGCCTCCCTGGAGCAGACGGAGCGAGCCCGGAAGCTGGCTGAGCAGGAGCTGCTGGATTCCAATGAGAGGGTACAGCTGCTGCACACCCAGGTAAGCTGGGGGTCAGGGGAGCCTGGGAGGGAGAGGAAGAGGCCTCAGATCCCCCAGGGTAACAGAGCCATGTGCCTTGCCCTAGAACACCAGCCTCATCCATACCAAGAAGAAGCTGGAGACGGACCTCACGCATCTCCAAAGTGAGGTTGAAGATGCCAGCAGGGAGGCAAGGAACGCAGACGAGAAAGCCAAGAAGGCAGTTACGGATGTAAGGCATTCTCTTCCTGTCCCCTGTTTGGCCACAGAGATCCGTGTTGTACTCAAACGCCCTCCCCTGCCCTGAATCTGAGTTTGCTACTATCAGACAGACTGGGCCCTCCTCAGGTCACACAATGACCAGCATTCTGCTCCTCAAACCAACTCACTGCCAGCCAGGCAGTTCTTCCGAATCACAGTAGCCCGATAGGGCAGGGTAGAACTGCCCCATGGGGCTCCTAGACTGTAACTCTGCATGGGAATCCAAAGCCTTATCTTTGTCTCAGAGTGGCTGGTGGTTCTGAAATGCTGACCTTGTGGTTTACAGCCCAAGTTATAACCAGGGCTCCTCGAATTCTGCTCCACTGCCCCTCAAACTCTACTGCTCAATTCAAAGGTGGGAACAACAACAACAAAATGAATAGAGCATGGCAAAAAGAAGTTTTGGTGGTGTAGTGGGTTAAGCATCTGGCAGCTAACCATGAGGTCCACAGTTCAAAATCTCCAGCCACTCTGAGGGAGAGAGAGAAGGCTTTCTACTCCCAGAAAGAGTTACAGTCTGGGAAACCCATGGGGACAGTTTTATCCTGTCCTATAGGGTTGCTATGAGCCAGAATTGACTCGGTGCCAGTGAGTATGTTTGTTAGCTTTTGAGTTTGGATAAAAGGAAGGCGGGAAGGAATTCTACTCTATTTCTCTCTACATGCTCGTTGAGATGTGTGGTCTTTCCTTCAGCGTCTAACTAATTCCGAATATGAAAATTAGACCCCCCAGAATTTAATACTGCATGGAATCTCAGCCCCAAGGAAGCTAGCTTCCCTTCCACCACCATCTAGGCTGCTTGCTCCCTCTGAGGTGGCCATCTCAGGTCCAGCCACAGCTACAACAGCGCCGCCTGCTGATGATGGGAGAACATTGCCTCTCACCTCTAGCTCTCCAGCAGTCACACCCCACAAGGCTTAACCTCCCGATACCCAAACCAGAGATGCTGGGTATCAGATTAAACTCCTCCGAATCCCAGGGCCCTCTGAAAGTCCAGCCTTAACCTGCTAGCCAAGAGTAGAATGTTCTTATGAAACCTTTCGTAAGCCAAATGGTGTCAAGTGAAAAAAGCAATTCATGTTCATTTATACGGGAATAATATTTTGAGCCATGCTAGAAACCCCCACGCCCAAATAACCTATCAAGTCACACCAATAACACACAAAACCTAAAATAACGCGAACATGAAGTGTTCATACACACAGCTCAAAGTTATGACCCCTTGATGTTGAGATGCTGGATGTAGTTCCCAGGGAAGGCACTGGGGGCGCTCTTTCACTGCTCAGGCTGCATATCCTCCTGAATTACTGGACACTACCTTGACTCTCCCCCACGCCACCCACCCTTTTTTTTTTTTTTGATGGTTGTGGGGGATGGGGAGCGGAAACTCCATTCAGATTTCTTTATGCAAAAAACTTACTTCCATCCAGTCAATTCTGACTCAGTAATTCTATAGGACCGGGTAGAACTGCCCTGTGGGCTTCCGAGACTAACTCTTTATGGGAACAGGAGGTCTGCTCTTTCTCTCAAGGCATGGCTGGTGGCTAGCAGTCCGATGAGTAAAGCTACTACACCCCCGGGTTTCTTTAGGCTGGTGAAAACACATATTAATATAGTTCCTTTATAAAAATGAAGTGGCATAAAGCAAACTTTCAAAAACAAGGATAGTTGGAGTTATTTTCACACAAGGATGATCAGAAAAGCCTTTTCCTGGGGTGGGTGAAGTTCTTGCAGAGGCCAGATTAAGCACCCACTAACCTCAGCCAGCCTTTGAAGGTGCTAGGTCTTCATTCCATAAAACTGCTGGAGCTCTTGTCCTATTCTGTGGTGGAAGGAAGGAGCTCTGGCGGCATAGTGGTTACACACTGGGCTGTGATCCACAAGGTCTGCAGTTCAAAACCACCAGTGAGAAAGACAGGGCTTTTTACTCCCATAGAGTTACAGTCTCAGACATTCACAGAGGGCAGCTCTAGCCTGTGTGATGCGGTTGCTATGAGTCAACACCGACTCGATGGCAGTGGGATGGGTTTGCTGGTGGAAGGGCACATTCAGTCATGAGCTTACCTGTAGTCTTTTTCTCCTTTGGCATTTCCCCTGCGCCGCTGTAGTACCCAGGTTTTGGCAGCTGATTTCTTCTGTCTCAGGACGGGTGTCACTTGCTTTTCAGGCGGCCATCATGGCCGAGGAGCTGAAGAAGGAGCAGGACACGAGTGCCCACCTGGAGCGGATGAAGAAGAACCTGGAGCAGACGGTGAAGGACCTGCAGCACCGGCTGGATGAGGCGGAGCAGCTGGCCCTCAAGGGGGGCAAGAAGCAGATCCAGAAGCTGGAGAACCGGGTACTTGTGGGAAGAATCCCCACTTCAGCAGCGCGCTCCCGACACTCAGCTCCCTCCACAGCCTCACTCTGACTTCTGACCCTTGCCCACAGATCCGTGAGTTGGAGCTGGAGCTGGAAGGGGAGCAGAAGAAGAACACGGAGTCTGTCAAAGGCCTCAGGAAGTACGAGCGCCGGGTCAAGGAGCTGACGTACCAGGTAAACAGAAAGCGGAGTCACTGGGTGGATCAGACACTAGCTGGAAGGTGGAAGGTTCAGGTCCACCCACAGGAACCTCAGGGGAAAGGCCTAGGGATCCACTTCTGAACAGCCAGCCTTTGAAAATCCTAGACAGCAGGGTGGGTGCAAGGCCAAATGGACGCCACAGCGCCTGGCTTAAGGAAACCTGCTCTCTGTGACATGCAAATGCCACCGTGGAGTAAGGCCTGGCCAGAATGTCGCTAGAGATGCACCGCCCCCACCTCTGTGGTCAGCGTCGCCCCAGTACCCTCCAATTTCAGAGCGAAGAGGACAGGAAGAATGTGCTGAGGCTGCAGGATCTGGTGGACAAGCTGCAGGTGAAAGTGAAGTCCTACAAGAGGCAGGCGGAGGAGGCGGTAAGTCACGGCAGTGCGTGCTCTGTCCATCCCTCCCAGTCGGCGAGGGGTGTGTGCGGGGGGCGGGGCGGGGGCGGGGGCACTTGAGCTCATCAGCCTGGCCCCTTTGGTTTCAGGATGAACAAGCCAACGCTCACCTCACCAAATTCCGGAAAGCTCAGCATGAGCTCGAGGAAGCCGAGGAGCGGGCGGACATTGCTGAATCCCAAGTCAATAAGCTGCGAGCTAAGACCCGGGACTTCACCTCCAGCAGGGTAAGTCAGTGCCTTCCCCATGCGGCAGGGGCAGCTCCAGGACGGCTGGGCCGAACCCACTGGGGCCGTCGGGTGTTTGGGGCTGGAAGGCTTCTCCGCACTGCTGTGGAGCCCAGACAGATGCAAAACAGCCCCATAGGACAGGGTAGACCCGCCCCTGTGGGGTCCCGTCACTGATTCTGTATACGAGTAGAAAGCCCTGTCTTTCTCCCCAGGGACAGCTGGTGGTTTTGACTGCTGATCTTGTGGTTAGCGCCCAATCCATAACCACGATGCCACCAGGGCTCCTGGAGAGAATCTTAGAAAACCCTTATTTTTCTCAGTGTCAGGACACTCCCTGCCACACACTCAAGTCAAATCCAACTCAAAGTTAAAATCCACTCAGAAACCCATAGGGCAGAGTAGAACCACCCCTGTGGGGTTTTGAGGCTATAACTCTTCAGTTGGGGGAGGTGGGGAGAAAGCCTCATCTTTCTCTCTCTCTAGCAGCGAGGTTAGTGGTTTCAAACTGCTGACCTTTTTGCTAGCAGCCCAATTCCTAGCCCACAAGACCAGCAGGGCTCCTCAGACTTGGGAAGCTTTATTTAAAGTCACCGCAGAGCTGAGGCAGAGCTCAGTGACAAGGCAGGTCTACACTGCCGGCTTGGTGGTTGGCAGTCCAGCGCTTACATGAGCGTGCCCTCAGGGCTCCGGTTAAGGTAAAGTAACCACAAGTAAAGGGCAACAAACAAATGAAATAAACCCTCTGGTGAACAAGAGATGGACGTTGTCCACTGGCTGCTCTCCACCGCCCTCTGCTGGCTGCGGTGGGCAGCCTTCCAGGGCCTGCAGGGAGGCTGCTGCTGAGAGCGGGGACAGTTTCTCACGCTGTGGGGAGCTGTCTCCACACATGCAACTGGGTATTTTCCTGAGGTCCAGAAAGTCCTATGAGAGGTGTAAGACGGAGCATGCCTGCCATCTGACAAAACTCAACACGCCGCTTCCCTTCCAGATGGTTGTCCACGAGAGTGAAGAGTGAGCGAGACCCTTCTGGAGCAGGCAGGAAATATTCACAATGGCTGTTTCCTGGGCTCCTGACGGAAAGCCTTCATGTCCCCGTGACTGCTCTTCGCCTGCAATAAATTTTGCTTTGCTTTCAATGCGGACTTCCTCCCTTTCTCTTCTTGCGCATACAGAAATGGCTCAGAGTCGGGAAATTTCATTCATGCGTCATGTTGAATCTCAGTACACAGCAGGCTTCATGAGTTCAACTGGTATGTGGGTGCCAAACCAGGGAGATTGCTTTGTGTTTACATCTGAGATTAGATTAGAAAGAAAAAGTATCTCTTGTCAGGGGAGGTCAGTCCCTGGAAAGTGACCTTGTGCTTAATAAAGAGAAGCCGTGAGAAACAGGGGGACCCTTGCTGAGATGGATTGACACGGTGGCTGCAATGAGGGGCTCAAACATAGCCATTGTGAGGAAGGTGCAGGACGGGCAGTGTTCCACCCCAGTTATGCACAGGATCGACTGACTTCAGGCCACCTAACAACAGGTTCACACTGCTTTGGGGAGACAAGAGAGAGGGGCTGTCAAAAGAGCCACCTCTATATATGACATGAAGGCAACACAGAGTTTAGGGTCAGGAAACCCCAGTCTCAAATAGAGGGGTTAGAAAAGGAGACAAGATTCCCTTCATCCGCTCACTATCAGGGGGGCTGCCCCATGCAAGGAACTTGTTAACTGTTCAAACCCACTGCCATCAAGTCAATCCCAACTCATAACGACCCTGTTGGGCTAACCCTGAAGCTGCTAATCTCAAGGTCATCCCTTCAAACCCATCATCTGCTCCTCAGGAGAAGAGATGAGGCTGTCTGCTTCCATAAGGATTTATAGTCGGACATTTGAGGAGCAGATCTATCCTGTCCTACAGGGTTGCTGTGAGTGAATGTGCCAACGATCAGGAATACACCAGTAAATAAAATAGCACCAGGCTTTTCTCAGGGCTCACGATCTGTATCTGATTAAGACATGTTATCTCGGTGAGGTCAGTACTAGCTCACCCCTTACCCGGGGTGCAAGGTCAACAGTTCGAAACCACCAATGGATCCTCAGAGCTTTCTACTCCTGTAAAGAATGACACTCCTGGAAACTTACAGTGGCAATTCTACCCTGTCCTTTAGGGTCACTGAGTTGCCATCAACGCGATAGTGAGTTTTGAGTACACAGAGGGAATCGGTCTTGGAAGAAGTGCAGCCAGAATTCCGTAGAAAGCAAGGATGGCGAGACAGCATCTCATGTACTTTGGACACTGCGATCGTTTCATGTCAACTTGAAGCTGTATGAAAGTGTAGGGGTGGTTATCCATCCTGTTAATCAGGTCACAGCCTGATGGTGCCTCCTTGTGGGCATGGCCTTCTCATAAGGAGGGCCCGGGGAACCTCCCCTTTTCCGCCTCTGCCTTCATCTTCCTGCTGGCTGACCACTCTGAGAGCCCTGCCATGGTTTCAAGGACCTTGGACCCACATGCCTTTGCAATCATTGGCTGTGATCTTCCTGCGCTCTGCATCATTGCAGATGACGGTGGGAGTCTGCAGAGGGTCTTAGGGACCAGTGTTGGACTTATGGACTTAGTTGGACTGGGTTGGGATGTTTTCTTGATATACATCTCTTTCTTACACACAATTGAGTGTTACTGGATTTGTTTCTCTAGTCAACCTGGCCTGACAGACACTTTATCAGAGAGACCCATTTCTAAAAGGGGGCATCCTGCTTGGTAAAGTTGGGATCAGCCCAAAAAAAGGTAGACCCTCAACAAGGTGGATTGCCACAAAGGCTTCAACCAGGGGCTTACACCTAAGGAGGGTGAGGATGGCACAGGGCAGGGCAGTGTTTCCTTCTGTTGCATGGCGGGTTCTCTGGCACCTGACAAGAACAATGGCACCCAGGGTGAGCCCGTCTTTGCCTTTAGGAGATAAAACAAAGAACAAAACCAAACTCACTGGCATTCAGCCCAACCCATAGGGACCCTGTAGGACAGGGTCGAACTGCCCCTGTGCATTTCCAAGATCGGAACTCTGTACAGGAGTCCAAAGCCCCATCTTTCCTCCCTCAGAGCAGCTCCTGCTTCGGAAGTGCTGACCTTGTGGTGACCAGCCCAGTGCATCCCCACTACACCCCCAGGCCTCCTTTCAGAAAGTCAGGGAAGTTAGAATAACCATCTGGTTGATCTACCACTGGGAATCACACATCCCACCTGGAATCATACACTTCACAGCGATCGTTGCTGTTTCCTTCATCGTCTGATTCAAAACGGTTGGGAGATGGAGCTGTGTGACTCAGGTGGGAATTAAAGGCCAGGGGGATTCTCTGCAGCACCCACCGCCGAGCCTAGCGGTCTCTGAATTGGCCATCCTAGTGGAAACCAGGCTTGGTGAAGCTGTGATCTCAAGGACTTTGGGCTCAAGCCCGATGACGAACCAGCAGCAGGTCCCTTCGAGAGGAAGTCCCCACAGTGAGAACCGGTCTGCTCCTTGCCCAAACAGTAAGCCCAAAGGGTCACAGCTATTCGGATGCTCTCAGAATATGGGAGACTTGGCAAAGCTTGCCTTGGGGGGAAAGCAAGAGATAAACTAAAGGGAACAGCGAGAAGAGACACACAACCTGCAGCCCCAAGAGTCCAGGCCGTGGGGAGTTTGACTGAAGACCCCCCTAGCGTTTTGAATCAATACACTGGGAGGAGGAAGCCTAAAAGAAGGGGAGGAGGAAATGGATAGCTTCAAAGAGACTCGACAGACCTGTGAACCCATGGAGGTTTTCGATTCCAGAAAAGAGTTACCATCGCGGAAACTCACAGGGGTAATTCTACCCTGTGCTACAGGGTCTCTGTGCATCCGGAGGGAGGGAGTGATCACCAGCTACACTGCCTGAGCCTTTCTGGGACTCCAATTGGTACAAGCAAGTCATTAAACAATAAAGACACCTGTTTGCACACCCCCACACAGGTAGCCAATTGCAAATATTTGATGGTGATAAAATTATTAATTTTTGAGGTATAGTTTAATACTCTGTGTGTGTGTGTGTGTGTGTTTCAAAGGGTCCAATATGTGAGAGAACTTCAAAAAGTTCTTGCAACAATGGAATGTAAAGATCATGGAATTTTTCCACGAACATTTTCAAGCCCCTTTGCATTTCAGAAATACAGTCGAGGAAAGAATGGAAGAGAGGGAGGAAAAGGAAGAGGGGAGGGAGGGAGGGAGGAAGAAGAAACCGTGAAGACGGCATCTTCAACCTGAACCTGTTTTACAGAATTACAGCTTTGTGTGGTTTGTAGTAGATGCAATGTATGCAGAACCGGGCCGTGGATGCTGGTGGGCAAAGATTACTCACCCCTCACTGCCACCGAGTGGATGCTGGCTCGTCGTAACCCTACAGGACAGGGTCGAACTGCCCCTGTGAGCTTCTGAGACTGCAGTGCTTTAAGGAGTAGAAAGCTCGTCTTTCTCCCTTGCAGCAGCCGGCAGCCCAACACATAACCACTAGCCACCAGGGCTCCTGAGCAAAGAACGAAGGTGAGGAATTGGGTTCTTGAAACAACCTGTGGCTATTTCTATCAGAACCTCAATTAATGAAGAATAAACTGGAAGACTCAATTTAAGAACAACCTTCACTGGTGCTCGTTTGTCCCTGAGGTAGTTAGTTTATTGTGCCAACCTGGCCGATAAACACAGGTGGGGTAAATTGAAGGGCAGAGGGACAAATGGTTCAGTCAGCCTCACCTTTCTAGTTTTTGGGTCTCTTGTTTTCTGATGGTCAGACAAGGTGCAGCTGCCTTAGTCAGTTCCCTGCTTCAGCTGGCAAGACATCCCCAAAAAGAAGCCACATGGACCTACCCCGATGCAGCCCTGGGTGCTGGAGCAGCTATGTGGAGACCCCTGCCAGCGCTGAGATGTTTACATGTTTACTGATTCGACTTTCCTCCTGCAGTTGGCATCATTGCGTGTGTTTTGTGAGATGGAGGAGGACTTTGTGGATTGATGTCGGACATATGGGTTAATGTTGTACTTGTGGGTTTGGGCAGCACTGGGTTGGGATGTTTTCTGGATGTGCACTTAACCTTTATATAAAACTCTCTCTTATACACAAGTTTCTGTGGATTTGTTTCTCTAAAGTACCCAGATTAACACAGTCCATTAACGCAGAAGGGGCCCATGGTCAGAGAAAATGAAATAAACCCTCTGTTAGTACGGAAAGTCCACTGAAAGCGAACATCTCACTCCAAAGAAGGGCTTGCTCTACCACACAAGCAGGAGAGGGCAAGTCTCACCCGGGTGGCCTCAGCCACTATTTTCCCCCAGCAACTTGCTGACCTTGGCAATGGGCCTTGCAACTCACACCTTACAGCTGTAACTTCCTCTAGGCCCAAGTAGCAGAGCTAGTATTCACCCCAGTACAAAGTGTAAGCGCCTTCACCCTACGAAACTCTGCCCACTAGAGAAACTGGTGAAATGCACCTGAGAAAGACCACGACCAGGCGCATGAGGCCAAGTGTGTGGAGGACACTGGTGAACTCAGTCTTACTGCTGTGGCTTCTGACCATTGATGGATTCTGGTACCCACTCCCAGTGGTTCCTCTAACTCCCGTCCTGCCCACTGTGAGACATCTCGCCCTCAGAGACCCTCCCTGAAGGCAGACCATCTATTCGGTCCTTCAGGTACAAACTGGCTCATCTTGAACTCTTGGGACACCAACCAGCTCTTTGAAACACCAGTCCAAAACTGGGTGGCAGGCAGGGGAGAATGCTCCTTCTCCAAGCTAATTTCTCTGGGCGGGATTCCACTCTCTCCAAAGTAAGAGCCATTTCTGTTTTCTTTCCTATCTTGGGTGCCCTGGTGGTGAAGTGGGCTGTACTTTGGGCTGCTAACAGCAAGGTCAGCAGTTTGAAACCACCAGTCAGTCTGAGGGAGAAAGTTGAGACTTCCTGTTCTCATGAAGATTTAGAATCTTAGAAACCCACAGCGCCCTGGCCTATATGGTCACTGTGAGGTGGTCTCCACTCATGGCAATGGACTTTGGGGTTCTGGTTTCCCTTCTTAAAGAGCCTCACGTTCTCTCTCTCTGGAATTGGAC